TTAACCCTAACCTGGAGACATGTTTAAGTCAAACATCAATACTTTCTATAAGTTGCGCACTAAAATGCTAAAACTCCACCTTTAAAAAATTCAAGCGTCAGTTTCTTCTCCTGTATAAATGTGATTGACCTCCCCACGTCTTAAAAGCTCCTTCCTATTGCATAATGACAAAAACCTAAATGTATTCCCATCAACTAAAAAACACCATACCAGTTAAATACCAAGAAGCAAAAATATTCTCTGACCCAAACAATCTTCTCAGAATAAAAGCTCCTAATGCGTGAACACCAGTTTTAGCGGTCTGAGGTCAGAACTGGCACCAGCAGGGTTGCTCTTATGTTCTATAGTTGTAATTAAGTCCAAGCAGGCTGGTGGGTGGCTTGATTTATCAAGCTGTGTGTGACTGAGTGTGTGTATGGGGTCAAAACCGAGGGGCGACCGGCTGCATATGGCATCGTAAAGATATTAATCACTGCACCCTTTAAGGGGCGGCTGACAGCACCCAGACCCACCGCCATCTCCACCATATTGGCTCACTTCATATGCTAATGCAGAGAGAGGGGGACGCAACGCCCAGGTTTATTTGTTTCCCTCGCCCCACTACAAGCACAAAAGCCACTTGACATTTCTATTGCCATGTTTTTATCTTAGGTAAAGAGGCCCCCGTCGACCCGCCCACCGTTGCACATATGCACGCACACACACACATGCCACCAAACTACACGCACACACACACCGCCTTCCAACGCAGTGGTCAATGACTTTTAAATAGCTGCCAATAGAGTGGGCATGAATAGCCAATAAGCTAATTCCTCTTATTCATTCGCTCTCTGCACTCTATTGAAGTGAAAGAGCCTCATTAGATGCCAGGCAGCCTTCCACATGATTGAGGGCTGTTATTATGCACCTTTAACAATTAATGTCACATTACACGCATTATCCCCGTCATTAAGCCCTTAGTGAAGCCAATGAATACCGCTTGTGCTGTATACATGAACCCTGGGGGAAAATAGGAGGGTGGCCGCAAACCCCCCTCCTCTCATCAGTTGTGGCCGAACACCAAACAGCATTCAGTTATTCAAAGCAAAGCAGCTGTCTGCAGAGTTGGACTCACTTTTAATAAGGCTGATTTGCTTTGATGAACTGTTTTATTTGAGAACGTCAACACAAGTGCTGAGTGAAACAAAGAGACCTGCAGCTTTTGAGTATTTCAGGGATCAGGAACTCTATCAAATGATTGAGTAATCAGATTTACACGTGAGCCCAAGTGAATCCATGTCTGTGATGTAAAAGTCTCATTTACTCTTTTTCCAATAAATTTGCTGTGGTCTCTAGAATGAATGAAAGGCTGGAGTTATTTTTGCTGCTGTGCTTCCGTTTCACCAGGAAGAGGCTTGTCGGAGCAACAGGCAGCGAACGATGAGAAGATTTTGAGTCTTAAGCCCGTTTCACACAGAATGCAGAATGGATGTGGCCTCGTTTCTTGATGGCTTTCACTAAGATCAAAAACTGTTTAGTCCAATCGGAGCATTCACACCAGCTGTGGAGCAGCGCAGATCTGGATGCAGAGCTCTGGAAAGTGTTGCATTATTTTTGCCTGTTTTTGTCTTATTAAAGTGTTCACAGTGTATGACAGTTCACATTATTTTTACAGATATATTTTTAAACAGTCAAGATTTCTCATCATTTGGAGCTCTTGTGGAAGCAGATATCTGAAAACATTCAGAACATAAACAAGTCAGTGTGACTGGCTGTCCATCTTGAATCCGTGCAGGAACCAGCCTGCTTGACTCATTAATACTCATGATATGCAATCGTCAAGCCTCTAATTGGCTAACAGTAGGGCTGTAGCGAAGCCTTGATGACGTCGACGGCTCAATTCTAAAAATTTGTCTACGTCAGATCCGGTAGTCGACGCACCACGCTCACTTGTTGCATCCTCAGGAGTTTGTAAACAGAGGAGGAATCTGCCTGTTTTTCCTCTAGTTCGCCCTCTTCTCCGCCTTCACTAACATCTCCGCCAAATACCGAAGACCCGGAACAATGTCCGTCCGCTACTAGATTCCTTTCCTGTTTTGGCCGCCTTCGTCTCCCGGCAAAAGACAACAACTTCCAGGGTCAAATGCATTGCTTTGTCTCTACCGCAGATGTAGAAAATCACCGGTAGTTTCTCCCTTCATAAAGGAGCCTTTTCAGACGTTAGGAGAGCTGTTTTGGTGGTAGCAGTCTCTCCTCCGTGCTGGTCTGTTTGCTGCTGGGTGTTTTTGGTTTATTTAAACTTGGTAACTTGAACTTAACATTGGTAAAGCTACTGTTAGCATTTTCCCTAACAGCTTCTTGCATTTGGATAAGCTGTTACGTTTTGGTTTAGAGTTAATCTTTTTTGTGGCGTAGATCTCCCTTTTATTACATTTAGAGCACATATGTCAGACTCAAGGCCCGCGGGCGGAGCATTTTTATGTGGCCCGCGAGATAAATATCAAAAATATATTAAAACTGGCCCGCTGGCCGATTTTACCGCAAAGACTTCAACTCCCATGATGCTTTGCTGCGTCAGCGCGGAGCCGACGCGCCCCCCTCCTTTGTGTTTTTTCCAGCGCCTGCTGCCGGTGTCTGCAGCTCCGCTGTCTCGAACAAACTACACTCCTCTCACTCAGCGCCGAGTTCACTCAGCTATTTTCTGACATTGAAGCCCAGAAACGGAGATTCTAGCCGCTCAGCAATGTGTTCACGACTGAAAGAAAAAGTTTTCAAACTAACGTCCAGACAGAGCTGATATAACTCCAGCGAGCAGCAACACGCTCAAACCAGCATGACTCTGTGGTTGCTGTCATTGTGTTTCCTCCCCGACACACAACAAGGTGGTCAAGCTGCTCAGACATGTTCAGCAGCACAAACCTATGAGAGCACCTGTTGTCATCTAATGTTGTCATTATTATGATGAAGATGAACAAAACAACAGGAGTCTCCTCCTCAGCTCAGATCAACCCCATGATGCAGGTATCTGGCTGGAACAGGTGAGCATCACAGTAAACCAGTGGAGCAAACTGAGCTTCAAATATGTTGGTTTTATGCTCTTTTTCTGCTCCAAAACATGAAAGTTAACAGGTGAGATGTTGCATTTTCATTTAAGATAAAATGATTATTTTATTTTGTTGTTGGCCCGTGAGAAAAGATTTAAAAGATTTTAAAAATGCTGATTATACCACAAGTAATGAATACCACTGATGCCTTTTATTTAAAACTGACTTGCTCGTGTGTAATTTGGTTATTCCACATTCAGTGTTAATGCAGAAATAAGTTTGTTTCCAAATTTAAAGGTTCAAAATTGCATTTATGTTGATAAAGAAAATGTGCAAATTTGCCGTCACTTTTTCAAAGTTTGGCCCTCGACTCCGTCCCAGTGTTTCATTTCGAAACCACCGTTTCGTGTGAGTTCGAGTTTGACACCCCTGATTTTGAGTGTTGTGGGTTTTCGGTTTAGTTTAAAACATCACCTTGAGTTTGGTTTAACCACCCAGTTTAGAGTTTGGACCTTTGGAGATCCTTATTTTGGGCCAGAACCCAGTGATCTTTCCCAAGTGGGACATCCCTACTTATTTGTACTTTTGTTTTAATTCCCCACAGGCAGAATTAGTTTTATTATTCCCAACCTGTGGATTGAAAGATTTAGGTTTTTTTTGTAGTTGTAAATAAACCTGATCATCATTTTAACTTTTAAATCCCGTTATTGTCCCTTCCTTTTTGCACACAAGCCAAACCCCAGGAAGGGTCGTAACATCACTCGCCTCACGCACATAAGTGACCAAAACAAAGCAGCATGGAGACACTCTGTCTCTCCAACCACCTCTCAGGCAGCAGCCTGCACTCCCATGCTCTACACGTCACCAGAACATAACCAACCGCAACACAATAAAAGCAGTGTTATACAAAATGGAAGGCTTGTAGTGTTTATTCTCTTACAGTAACAATTTATCAATTTTTTTTTTAGGAATTAAGAGATATTTTGGTTTTTATTAACTGTGCAATAGAAAAATAATCATTAGATTAATTGTTTAAATAGTCATTAGAATAGTCGACTATTGGATAAAATAATCGCCAGAATAATCGTTTTAAAAATAATCGTTTACCCGCAGACCTAGCTAACAGCAAGTGGTCATGTAGTTTTAAGTGACAAATATAAGAATCTTGGTTCAAGCATTTTTATGTGGCCGAGGGCAGCTTTAGGGGCAGTAGCAGCTCAGGAGGTACAGCGGGTTGTCCAGTAATCAGAAGGTTGCAGGTTCGATCCCAGATCCGACCAGAGAATGCTGCCTCTTTCAGTGCATCCCAGAGCAGCTGTGACTACATCCCCACTAGTGTGTGAATGTGTGTGTGAATGGATGAATGACTGATGGTGTTGAGAAGCACCTTTGGAGGTTGTGGATCCTTAGGAAGGTGCTATACAAATACACTTACATTTACCATTTAGTTAGATGCTGAAACAAACTTAAGAGCAGCGGTACTCAATAGTACTGCAGACCGGACCCCCTCTTTGAGGCCCTCCAGGTCATTTTGTTGAGTTGCCCTCAGACCATTACATTTGAATAATCCTGCTTTAGAGCATCACAAATAAATGTTAATTTTGCCTCAGATACACAACAGTGATTAAAATAAATAAGTGAAAATTTTTTTTTTTAAATAAATAAAACTGACGTGCCCCGATATTACCAACCAATATTTTTTCCATCATGTCTCCATTTGTTTCTGTTTCAGAGGGTGAGGGAGGTGATGTGTATTTGTTCAGTCATGTGATAGTGATGGTAATCATCTCAGAAGCATAAATGTGTGTGTTGTGTGTACATAATGTAAATTCAGCTTTAATATTTTTCATTCTATTTAAAATCTACTGATTTTAGAAGAAGCAATAATATCACAAATATCAGTTATCGGCCATAACCGTGATTTTAATATCGGATATCGGCCCAAAAATTTCATATCGGTGCATCACTATTCCTTACCTTTGCCAATCACGAGGCCACACTTATCAGCGGGCACAGCATAGGTCACCTCCTGCAGTCCTCCAGTCCCTCCCACGTTACAGTCCCCACGCCCACGGCGTCCGATAACTCCACCAAATCCATCTCGCTCCTGTTTGGATGGAAAAATAAATGTTTAATTCTGACACAAACATGTCTGAACGTTCCTTTAGTATACGACTCTACTCAAGCCATTTTTGCAAAACAATGCCGTCAATTTGCCACAACACCGTGGCGGCATCAGCGAGCCTTATTTCGTTTACAAGTGGTCAGACCGTGGCAGTAATGTGGAAAATTCAGTGCAGTTTCTGGTGATTTGACCTCCAGCTCTAATGGAGAAAAGCTCCAGGAGCGCAGCAGTTTGCCTCCTCAGCCGATTCTGTTTACAAAAGCAAAACTCACGGCCTGCATTTACTTTTATTTTCATATAGTTGCCGGCCAGAGTTCAGCAGTAGCTCTCCACGTGATCATGACACCTCCCTCTGTTGCACCAAGGCGCAATCCCTGTTTATAAGCCAGGCAATTACTGCAATATTACTACCAAGCTAAGCGAAGGAAAGCCGCAAAATTTGAAATTCACTGTGTCGCGTTTAAAGGTCACAATGTTGCAGTAATATGCTGATATGTCAGCACAGTGTGTCTTGTAAAAAGGGCTTCAGTTGGTGTCTCACAGACTATTGGATAATATCTATTATGACTAGTTGTCACTAGGATGATTTAAATTTCTTTATTTTTCTCTCATGGGACAAATTTGCTTTTGGGCTACCAAAAAAATAAATAAATAAGTAAATAAAAAAATGTGTGTGTGTGTATATATATATATATATATATATATATATATATATATATATATAAATAAATAAAATACTTTACATTTTTAAAAACTTATACATGCTTGAATAAATAACATGTTGTTAAAAGGCACATATGACTTAAGTTAGAAATTGTTCTATTAAAAAAAATAAAACCATGTTCATTAAGTTATTTGCACATAAAATGATTTCAGGATCTTTATTCTCGACACTCCCAGTATGTTGCTTTAATGGTTTTAACCAATAATGGAAGAAATGAGTGCTTGTACTGGTTGAGCTTACAGCATCCTGAGTTTAGGAAAACATACTTGAAGGGAGAAAACACACACGTTAAAATGGTGTCTGTCTGAGACGGTTTTGTTCAAACAGTGGGGTTAGTACAGCAGTTGTACCCTCTGTGTTTCTGTGGGAGTTCCTGCTTTAAACCTGACAGCAGAAAAACCTACCTGAGCTGTCTGAACCAGTTCGTTGATGAGGTGGGCCGCATGGTGGCAGTGATCGGGCTGGCCCATCACCTGAGCAACTCGATCAGGACTGACTCCATCATCTGAACAATATAAAAGGTTTCAACAGTTTAAACTCTGAAGAAAAGCAACTGATGCCAAAAAAAACTTGTATAGCTACAAGGTTTCAATAAACTAATAACATCAGTCTAACCAAGAACTGTAGACTAAAACACATTGCCACTGAATTTGTATTTTAACACCTGGACTGTTGAGACACTTTCAACAGATAAACAATTGCTCCAGACAAATGAAACTTGAAGCTCCCCTGACCTTGTTTGAACTGGATCCTGACACCTGCATCACTCTGAATCTTCTTGATCATTTCTCCGTTCCTGCCAATGATGATGCCAACCGCAAATCTGGGCACAACCACCTGGAAAATCCAAACAGAATAATTCAGGATTCATTGACTTTTCAATTGCCATGAATGAAAGGAAATAAACTTGACTTTTCTGAGTTTGAGAGACTTACATCCAGACTGCTTCCACCCATTTTAGATCCAAAGTCCACCCTGCCTGCCCTGAAGTCTCCTTGGTCTTTGTCCCGAATGAGTTTCACCACAAGCTCACGAGCTTGCTGGTGGAAAAATTGTCAAACATTTAACAATTTATTTACAATGAATGATTCACATCAACCAAATTCAAATGGAAACAAAAATATTTTCATTTATTCAAAGAGCATAAAATGTGTAAAAGATGGAGGACACACTGCAGGGTCTGACCTGAACTTTGTGGGGATCTCCAGTAATTCTGAGGGGCTTGTCTGCTCCAGTGGGCATGGGGTCATCCTGAATCATTATCATCTGCACTCCTGTTCTCTCCTACAGGGGTACAATCAGACAGGCACACAAAACACAGCAGTTACCTGGGGTGCAAAACACTACTCACTCAGGAGGGCAGAAAGTTTGTCGTCAGTCAGGCGACACCAAATTTTAGAGCAAATGCCAACAATATGGGGAGGCGGTGAAAGAAAGAAGATGTTAAAGCCAGAAAAAAGAAAAATAATTACTAATAGGCAGAAATCTGCACTTTATACAGACAGTTCTGATGTAAAAATCATAAAGAATGTCATTCTTATTGATTCAGACCTGCTTTTAAAAGCAAAGATCCAGGTGGAAAACAGTAAATACTTCATAGTTTATTCATCCAAATTAAAGGTGCAATTTGTGAGAATTGTTTTGCGAAATGAACTCAAAACAGTGCAATATCTCAATCATGTTCAATGGAAGGATAAATTGAAAGATTACACTTTCAGCCAGATGGGGGATTTTCAGTTTTTTTCCTTTCGAAAAAAACTAAACATGTTAAAATCATTTGAACAAAGTTACTGTTAGTGTTTACAGTCTGAGTTTTTGAGGCTGCGGAATCTGCAGCGAGCTAATGCAGCAAGCGCAGGCATTTGTAATTCGACACCACCAGACAAAAAGCTTCAGAGAGCCAAAGTGAACCAGAAGTTATTTCTTGTACCCCTTAGAAGCCATGGCATCATTTTGCTTTACTCCATTGTCGGGTGAAGCAGGCTAGAGGCCAACATCGAGCTAACGGTGAATGAGAAACAATCAGCTCTAAAAATATCACAAGCTACCTTTTGAATTACCAACAAGTCAATATTACAGTGAAATGTATGTGAATCACTAAAGTGTGGCATTTTAGAAGTCTTCTTCAAAGTCCCCATGTGTGAAATCCATTGAAATCATGATGAAAAATGTGACTCTTAAGCGCCATGCAGTTCAGAGAAAGTATTGCAGCTACGGTGGCTCACTCATGAGTTTGACTGTATAATCAATTTCCAACCTGTGTAGCCTAACCCACACAACTTAAAACAAGCTACTCGACCTTTTTTAAAAAGTCTTTATAATTATGACTGTTTTATCAACCTACCAGTCCTGATGGAAGCAAGCTAGTTCTGTTGTTGAAGCGGTCACGATTCACACACTGAGGAAGGGCGACGTCAGCCCGGAGGTCAGGTGTTTTGAAAAATTGTGTTCCCCTGAAATATTCTGTCCCCCCGTGTCGGGAGATCGCACTTCTGGCTATTTTCACAACATTTGTGATCAACTTTTATGGGAAAATTATGTACTGTAATAATGTCATGATTGTGATTTTTTTATCTGCATTTCCTCCTAAAAACAATAAAAAAAAATACAGTAAAAACATCTCTTTTGCAGCAAGCTTTTTTATTTTTTAAAGTTATGTAAAAAGATGTAATCTCACTCAATTTAACCATCTTTTATTTGAGGTAGTTTAGTCCTCATAATGGACAATAAGTTCTGTGAATTTGGAAACATTTGCTAAGGGCAACAGAATATTTCAGGGGAACATAATTTCCCACAACACCCGTTATAACCAGGCTGATGAAGGAGTGTTGGTAAGCCGGGAACATGCTGGAGATCAAGTAACCAGTGCTGACTTATCCACCAGCTAATCGTGGCTCATGGCTGGCGTGGTGGAGATGGGCATCACAAGCTACTAGTTAGCCATGGCTAGAGCCGGGGAGACGCGGTGTACGCTGAGCGTGAACTCCCATGGATTACCAGCAAAAGGAAACCAAAGTCTAAAGGTAACGTTCGAGAAGAAGCCCTCTGTGTCGGAGCGTCTCTGTAACGCGTGGAGAACTACATCGACGTTAGTAGACTGTTGTGGAGATGAAGCAAACAACGCTGACTTAGCCACTGGCTAGATGAGCGTGTTGGGTAAGACGGCAGGCTGCAGGAAGAGAGGAGACTTGAGTAGAAGGACTTTGCAACGGACACGTTGGGACCGGATCGGGAGTTCTGGTACTAGGAAAAGACGGATGAACAACTTCAGGTGAGTTTGGGAGTCAGGGACACTAATCGGAGGCTGGTGTCCAGCTAATAGCAGGTGGGGGTCTGAACATATGTGGCTTCCTTGTGTTGGACATGGCAAACTCACAAAATTTTACTTGTCTTTTGATTTGTTTTTTTATTCAAACTAACAAGTACAGCAAAGGTGTAGCTATTATTTTTATTTCTTAGTTGAAATAGCAAACTTCATGCTTCTAGGGCGCACTGCTGCCCTCTGCTGGTTCTTTCAGGTTACAGTCATAGTCCAAACGGGTAACGTGGAGCTCATATGTTTATGTTTATGTATTTAGCAGATGCTTTTGTCCAAAGCGACTTACAAGTGATAATCGGCATATTGCCCTTGAGGCTAACAACAACAATAACAACAACAACATTGACATCAGTCATGGAGAGTAGGGAACAAGGAGTGGACAGTAGAGAGGGGGGATGGGTGCAGGCAAGGTGCTAGTTAAGAAGATGCTCTCTGAAGAGCAGAGTCTTCAGGAGTTTCTTGAAAATTGAAAAAAAAAAAGCCCCTGTTCTGGTAGTGTTTGGAAGGTCATTCCACATTTGTGGAACGATGCAAGAGAAAAGTCTGGATTGTCCTGAGCGTGGTGTAGGCACTGCTAGCCGACGATCCTGTGATGACCGGAGCGGCCGGGCCGAGACGTAAGCCTTTTCAAGAGGATTCAGGTAGATGGGAGCCGTACCATCTCGGACTTTGTATGCTAGTGTTAGCAATTTGAATTTGATGCGTGCTGCTAGCGGTAGCCAGTGGAGCTCAATGAACAGAGGGGTGGCGTGTGCTCTTTTTGGCTGATTGAAGACCAGATGCGCCGCTGCGTTCTGGACCATTTGAAGAGGTCTCATATCGCGTCAGACCCGTGCCACAACCCGTGCACGCGCATTGGGTCCACAGCGCGCGTGTGAACGGGACTCGCGAGCGAAAATATACATGGCAGCGCGCGCGTGAACGGGACTCGCGAGCGAAAATATACATGGCGAGAGGTCATTTGTGCACTGAGAGGGAGCAAACTGTGTCTGTGAGCACACAAGGATGTGCACAAGTGACAAACCTGCGTGCGCGCGTTGCCAACGAGCACACGGCAGAGGAAAACGTGCGTGCGCGGCAGCCTCTCTGCGCGCTCGGCAGCCTCTGTGCGCTCGGTTTCTAATTCCGCTCGCTTGGCTGTGAGGGCTTTTGGCACTCTGGAGGCGTGGCCTGTGGCAGATCTTTCCTGTCCTCTGATTGGTTAGTTTACCCCGCACTTTACTCTCTACCCATCTATATAAAAAAATCTGAGATTCAGCAGTTGCTGTCATAGCTCAGCTGGGAGAGCGGGTGACACTCACTCTGGAGGATCCAGGTTCGAGTCCGGCCAAGGAACATAGAGTTGATGTCATTATTCTTTCCTAATTCCTGTGATATTATTTTACAGTTGTGACCGTTCAACTGTCATTAAACGTCCGAATGTTTGCTGGGCAGTGTTTTAAAAAGTGCACATAAGCTAGATGGTTTTAACCAGGTAAAAATAGACTTGTGGGTGTAGGTATGTTCAAGTTTAAAAAGTTCTTGCCTCATTAATGTATTGTATATTTTTTTCAACATTTAATTGACAAATTATCCTTTCAAATAATTAATTGATGAGTTACATAATTGTCCATTTAGAATTGTTGAATGGACTGAGTCAAGTTTGGTGCACTTTATATATTTCAAAACATGTTTTTTTTAATTATGCATATAAATAATTTTAATGTTAATTTATTGAAATATTTCTATTTTTTCATTACCTCACCCTTGTTTTGACAAAAACAAGACCTTGCTGGATAATATCACGGAGAAACTATTTGTTCACAGTACTTGGCTCAGTGAGGATCTGTATACCAAAGGAGGAGATACTCAGAAATCTGTCTGCAGATTGTTACAACCCAGACTGGAAGTGGTGGGCTGTAATAAGAAAGGAGACCAAACAGAGGAGTGGGGGGTTCAACAACTGATTTATTTAACAAAAGTAAGGATTTACTAAAGCAAGTTAGTGAACAGAAAATGGCCATCTCAAGGTGTTACTCGGATGTCCCTCAGCAGGGTGCAGCACTGTTGAAGGTCATCTGAATGAAAGCTTGATATGCAGCTTCTTTATGAAAGTGTGTAAATATACAGTGTGGTTGCCGTACATATGTTGAGGTTCTCAGACATCAGGCTTCTTTGCCCAGGCCTTCACTAGTGGGCTATTTTAAAAGTTGGTAAGGAGAAAAACCACAGCATATAGCTGATTGTTTACAAATGCAAGGAGGGGAATAACAATCAAAAAGCTTGTGTTCTTGGACCAAATGAATGGAGCGCTCCACATGCACTCAGAGATGTTATGGCTTCTGTTTCTATAACTTTACATGCAGACATTTGAGGTTTGCCAGAAAGAAAAGCTGGCCTGTACACTTTGCAGGGCACAATGTCATCAGTGAAGAAACCCCTGTCTACCATGATGACCATCTCTAGTTGTAGCATTTTCAACACACCAGATTCCCAGGTTGGTCGCTGATAGTTCCAGCATACAGTGCTGAGACAAAGGTCACTGGCCTATGTGGCACAATCCAAATGAGCCTCTTCAGAGTGCAGTTGAACTTGAGGAAAATATATGACTCTGGAAGAGAGGGGAATATGGCCATTGACACCTCAGATCAGTGCAGTCAAGAATTACTGGTGTTTGGGTAGTCCTGAACGTGTTGTGATGCCCCCACCGTCTTATTGGGTTTTCATTTGTGTTTAATTGTGTTTTTCTTCTGTTGTAGGCAGCTCGTTAAGCAGCCTTGGAGGCACCTGGGCTCAGGGTGTGGTGCTGCCTACAAAGCCTACTGTTTTTCTGCTTTCACTGGGTCTCTCCTGTGTGGTGGAGAGTCCTCACTGGCCATTTTCTGTTCACTAACTTGCTTTAGTAAATCCTTACTTTGGTTAAAAAAAATCAGTTGTTGAACCCCCCCACTCCTCTGTTTGGTCTCTTTTCTTATTACAGCCCACCACTTCCAGTCTGGGTTGTAACAATCTGCAGACAGATTTCTGAGTATTTCCTCCTTTGGTATACAGATCCTCACTGAGCCATGTACTGTGAACAAATAGTTTCTCCGTGATATTATCCAGCAAGGTCTTGTTTTTGTCAAAACAAGGGTGAGGTAATGAAAAAATAGAAATATTTCAATTAATTAACATTAAAATTATTTATATGCATACTAAAAAAAAAAACATGTTTTGAAATATATAAAGTGCACCAAACTTGACTCAGTCCATTCAACAATTCTAAATGGACAATTATGCAACTCATCAATTAATTATTTGAAAGGATAATTTGTCAATTAAATGCTGAAAAAAATAAACAAAACATTAATGAGGCAAGAACTTTTTAAACTTGAACATACCTACACCCACAAGTCTATTTTTACCTGGTTAAAACCATCTAGCTTATGTGCACTTTTTAAAACACTGCCCAGCAAACATTCGGACGTTTAATGACAGTTGAACGGTCACAACTGTAAAATAATATCACAGGAATTAGGAAAGAATAATGACATCAACTCTATGTTCCTTGGCCGGACTCGAACCTGGATCCTCCAGAGTGAGAGTCACCCGCTCTCCCAGCTGAGCTATGACAGCAACTGCTGAATCTCAGATTTTTTTATATAGATAGGTAGAAAGTAAAGTGCGGGGTAAACTAACCAATCAGAGGACAGGGAAGATCTGCCACAGGTCACGCCTCTAGAGTGCCAAAAGCCCTCACAGCCGAGCGAGCGGAATTAGAAACCGAGCGCGCAGAGGCTGCCGCGCGCGCACGTTTTCCTCTGCCGTGTGCTCGTTGGCAACGCGCGCACGCAGGTTTGTCACTTGTGCACATCCTTGTGCGCTCACAGACACAGTTTGCTCCCTCTCAGTGCACAAATGACCTCTCGCCATGTATATTTTCGCTCGCGAGTCCCATTCACGCGCGCGCTGCCATGTATATTTTCACTAGCAAGTCCCGTTCACACGCGCGCTGTGGACCCAATGCGCGTGCACGGGTTGTGGCACGGGCCTGACGCGATAGTCTCACAGTACAGCCTGGAAGACCAGTTAGAAGGGCATTGCAGTAGTCAAGGTGGGAGATGACAGTAGATTGCAACAGGAGCTGGGTGGCATGTTGTTATGTATGGTCTGATCTTTCGTATGTTATACAGCGCAAAGCGGCATGAATGGGCAACAGAGGCAACATGATCTTTAAAGGTCAGGTGTTCATCAATCACAACACCCAGATTTCGAACTGCCTTTGAAGGAGCCAGATATAGGAAGTCATTTTGGATTGAGATATTGTGCTGTATGGATGGTTTTGCTGGGATCACAAGTAGTTCAGTTTTAAGCTTGGTTTATGCTTGACGCATTCACTTTCCGCGCGGTGATGCGGCTCGCGGCTGGAACGCGCTTCACAACTCGCAGCGTTTATGGTTTGTGCGGCTCGTCTCTGCGGTGAGCCAATATTCTCCCTAACTGAACGGGGCAGCATGGAGCTCTACAGCATACATCCAACACTACACCATAGTAGAAGTAGAAATTACTGTTTACAACACGGCATTTCAGCATTTTTAAAAGCGTTCTCGTCTTTTCCGACAGTGCGAGCTATTTCTCTCCAAGAATTATTAACAACATGTTGATCACGGTGATCTCTGAGAGCTGAATCATACAAATGTCTGTATTTACGAACCTCTGCCGTGCCGGTCCGCCATGTTTTTCCGCGTCCGACCGTCCGCGTGGTTAGAAATTTTCCGAGGTGCGCGTTGCGGAAATCTTGGGCAGTGCGGAGACGCGGTGGAGGGGCGTGGTTGTTAAAATGACGCAAAATGACACAACTTTTCCGCGCGGAGCCGTGCGGACCTCGCGGACGCGTCAAGCATAAACCAACCTTTAGAGCGGTTGAGTTGGAGATGGTGGGATTTCATCCATTTTGATATGTCAGAGAGACAGTTTGATATTCATGCAGAGACAGTGTGGTCGTCCGGTGGAAATGACAGATAGAGCTGGGTGTCATCTGCATAGCAGTGGTAGGAGAGGCCATGTGATCGAATGATCTCACCCAGTGAGGTGGTGTATATGGAAAAGAGAAGAGGTCCTAGTACAGAGCCCTGGGGGACTCCTGTGGCAAGATGGTGCACGGTAGAGGATTGTCCAAGCCAAGATACACTGAATGATCGTCCTGTGAGGTATGATTCAAACCAGGCGTGTGCTTTCTCTGTGATGCCCATGGTAGAGAGTGTGGACAAAAGGAAGCCATGGTTGACAGTGTCAAATGCTGCCGATAAGTCAAGCAGGATAAGCACCGAGGATTTGCCTGTCGCTCTAGCTTCTTTTAAGGATTCCGTCACTGCTAACAGAGCAGTTTCAGTGCAGTGGCCCTTTTTGAACCCAGATTGGTAAGGGTCAAGCAGACAGTTTTGTGAGAGGTATTCTGTGATCTGCTTGAAAGCCACCCTTTCAATGATTTTGGACAGAAAAGGGAGGAGAGAGATAGGTCGGTAGTTCTCCACATGATTTGAAGGAACAGATGTTCTTTTAGCAGCGGTTTAACATGAGCATGCTTGAGAGAGGTGGGAAATGTACCGGATGTCAGTGATGCGTTGACCACATGTGTGACTGCTGCGGCTACTGTAGGAGCAATAGCTTGGAGCAGCTTAGTCGGAATGGGGTCAAGTGGGCATGTAGTAGGGCGGCTGCACGTGAGAAGCTTGGACACATAGTTCTCAGCGACATGGGAAAAAGAGGAAAATGAAGCAGTAGGGCTTGAGACGGTTGGGCTTGAAGGAGTTTGTGGTAGTGAATGTTCAGGAGTGGCCAGTTGAGTAAAGTGTTTGCTTATAGCTGCCACTTTGTCAGTGAAGAATGAACAGCTACTGGATGGTGGATGACCATCGAGTGTCAACCACAGTTTATGTATATAAAAATTTATAATTTCAAGTTGACAGGAATATTTAGAATTGATGTTGGTGAGAAATATTAGTGAAAAAGGACAAGTTTGTGAACTGGAAACACAGGATTTGATGGTAAACTGGCAAGAATATCACACACTGCGTCTTTAACAACGAGAGTAGTCAGGCTGTAAACACGACAACGGGTCATTTTCGTGTGCTATTTTAAGTGAGCCTATAAACGAACCTGCAGTTGCTTAATAGTCTCCCCTCCCTTGCCGATGACCAGGCCGACTTTGTTGGCAGGGATCAGGATCTGTTGGATGGAACTGTTGCCATCCATGTCGTTGTGGAAGCCTGGACCATACCGACACTGCTCTATAATCTCACTCAGGAGCCGCTTTGCTTGACTGTGGAAAGGAACGAAGACCAGAAAAAAGTTATTTTTCAACAACTTCACACAAATCTGTTGAGCAACAATTCTTTAAGACAAAAGTAAATTTAGTGAGCAGGTATTTCTGTGACAGAGCTGGATGCAAACAGAGCTTTGGGTTTGTGTCCCATTTCACAACAGAGTAAACTTTACTATTCATTTGTGCCTGCGACTGCATGAATCTGTCACATGTGTTAGGACTTACTCAATGTTTTCTGGGCTCCCAGTCAGTGTGCAAGGTCTGTCCAACATGCCCCCGCTGTCTACGAGAAAAAACAAAACAAAACATGAAAATCATCTCCATGAATACAAGAACATGTGCTCAACAGCCTAAATTATTTCTTTGTACCAAGACAGAAATTATATTGTGGTATCGAAACTATCATTACAAACAAGTACTGGAAAGGCAACAAGTGCATGAACCAACTAAATAAAAATAATATTTGGCTACACACATTTTCCAAAATATGCATCACTATATAAAAAAACAGTACAGGTTAAAATTGGGCTGCATTAAATCAAATTTATTTTCTGTTGGGTTTAACCCACTGTGTCACCTGGTAAAACAAGCTAGCTTAAACATATTACTCATGTCTTCTAACAACGTTCTAACATGGTATAGTTACAAATATATTGCAGAGATTAAAAAATAAATAAATAAAAACAAATAATGAAGCTTTCTTGCATTTGATTAAAAACTTCAATAACACGACTCGGTCAGACTATTCGGGTGTTGGTCTCACTTTACCACATCACTTTGGCTTTTACCAGAGCTCTCCACTCATTATGCGCTCGCACATTTTGCAAAATAACAACTGGTGTGAGATGTTCTCCGCTCAGTGCTGGGAAAGGAGAAACAGCTGGCTGCTACCACTGCGAGTGGCGTTTACTGTGGCGATACCGATTCACTTATCAGGCAGACGATGATAGCCAACAGGAGGGGTGAGAGTTCTGTGACTGCTTGAAAGCTAGCTAGGTTTACAGATTTGCCATTGCAGCTATAACGGTCGTGGTCGTCTACTGTTGTCGCCAATTTTCTGTCTCTCACTCGGCACTGTTCTGGAGTGTTAGACGAGGTGGCTGATTAGCCCACGTCCTGCAACAGTGGAAAGAAGATATATATATCTATATATATATAGAAAAGTTTGGTCTCACTATTTCATCATCCCAGCTCTAACGATCAACGATTGAAATCGCTATTTCCATCAGAAAGCATTAAGACCCCCCCCCCTCACACACACACACACACACACACAAGGGCTTCCATTTGCATTTAATTCTTGAAGAAGAAATGTTAAACCTCACCTGAAGCAATCTGGATCTTACAACCTGATTCTTGTTGTATTCTTGAGATTTGTTCTCCTCCTTTTCCAATAACTGAGGATGCGAAAACAATTTAGAAACCAAAAATGCAGCAGTAGGAAGAAACAACTAATGAAAAGGAGACACTTACTGAATCCAACCATCTTATCAGGCACTTGGAAGTCTTCTGTTGTAAAAGCCCTGTTAGACAAATGTAAAGTTAAAACTAATAATCATTATGTTTTATTTATTTTCATATGCAAATTCATCTATTTAACCCCAATAAATATCTTAATAAAATGCGAAACACTTAATGACAAATTCTAGCTTATACATGTCCATTTGATTTTACAAAAAAACTGTTGAGTTTCAAGCATTAAAGTGATAAAACATAGCATATGTACCAAAAAAAATGAAAGATTTCACACTTTTAAATGGTAGATGGCCTGTATTTGTATAGCGCCTTAGGGTGCTACAACTTTCAGTCATTCACACGCTGGTGGGGATGAGCTACGATGTAGCCATAGATGCCCTGGGGCACACAGACAGAGGCAAAGCCTGCTGAACAGTGGCACCACCAGTCCCTCTGACCACCACCAGCAGGTATGGCGGGTTAAGGGTCTTGCCCAAGGACACAACAGCAGCATTCTCTGGTTTGGAGTTATTATCGAACCTGCAACCTTCCGATTACCTACCTCCTGAGCTAGTGCCGTCCCTTTTAAGGTGTGAAAGGTCTAAAGGGAGTATGTCATTATTTAAATTATAATGAAAAAAATAACAAACTAGTTGGGAAAATGTAGACTGATCATTTTTGTGCACACAAACATAACAAATTAACCTCCAGTCCTAACTTAGGCAGAGATTAACTGAAAATATACAATGTGCAACAAGGAGCATTACAGAGTGTTTTCTCTCACCTTTGATGTACCATTGCACTGAGATGGTTCCCTACTGAGAAAAACAAATAAAAGAAAGTAAAGCAATTAAAATGTGAGAAATACTACAACAAGGCTTCAAACATTTTAAATATCAGCTAAAAGATGGAAGACTGAGTCAGTGCTGGAAGGGATGGGAACACATGGACATGAAGCTGCCAATTCTGCATGTTTGTGTCTGACCCGCAGCAGGAAGCTTTCACCAGCATGGAAATCAGACCCACAAGTGCACGAACGAGCGTTTCAATCAGAGCGGCAGCCACTGGGTCACTGACTGCTGGTCCTGAATTGAATTTTGACAGGTTGAATCAAGTGAGGGTCCTGCAGGGTCACTGGAGGATGTGCAGCCATGGACATTTGGACTTGAATTGATATCTTACAGGTTCAATCAATTTTACGGTTGTTTGCACAGATTTCACTTCTTCTGGAAAAAGCTATGGGGTTAAAGCCTGAGAATGGAACAGCTATGAATACAAAAAGGGGAGGTGTACTGACTTCATACAAGACTGTCTGATAGTGTGAATGAGTGTACTTTCATAGTTGTGTAATAATCAAACGCTGACGGCCAACAGCAACGCAAAAGAGTAACCATTTCTGTCATTTCTCCAACTGTGTGACAACCTTGACTGAGAAAAACTGAGGACAAACTCTTGTCAACAACAGTGCATCAAAGAAACCTAAACTCGAATTGCATACAATTTTCCTATCCATGTATTCAAGGCTGAACTGTCATACAAACAACTATGACAAGATAAGAGGAGGATGGGGTAAACGACTACCGTTTCCACTTTGTGAATATCAAATGGATCAAACATTTGCTCCAAGTGTGAGGCATAAGAAAAGATTTTTTTCCTACACCAGTGTCATACATAATACTCCAAACTACACAGCTCTCTCTTCAAAGAGTAGAGCAAATCTGAAACACGCACTGATAAATCCAAATCCTATTTACGCTCATTTATTCAGTAGTACACAAAAATAGTGTTGTGCAATATTGAAACTGCTTCTGTGTACTTGGGGTTTATAGACGGTGACTAATTTGGGGAACACTGGTTAGGTTTTCACAAAAGTTAAACTTCTAAAACTATTTCTACAAAAGACTGGACCTGAAAAACAAACCATGAGAGCAATCAAGATTTCCCCATAGATTTATAGGCCTGGCGGACAGGCAGGCAAAGCCTCATATTTATATTTTTTTAAAGAGTTTTTAATACACCAAATTAACATTTGAAATGTTACATTTAGCACTGAAACTAGGCCAGGGACGACAACAAATTTTGCTGGACGATATATTGTCCAACATATTATTGATGATAAACAATATTGTCGACATTATCGAGACCAAAATTACCACTTATGTAATGCAAATAATGCAAGTACACCCTTTAAAATGCAATAACTAAACCTTTATTTAACTCACTTAAGTGATATATTTTCAGCAGTAATGAAGCGTCTGAGATCCGTTTGTTTCCTTTGAAATCGTAGAGATCTACATTATTGATTGTAGACATTTTCTGAAAATACCCATCTCTAGCCTCCTTCACAATTTAATTCCTGTAAGGGGTGCATTCATCCTTGTTCTTTATATCCATCCTTTTGAATCTTGTTCTGCTTTAACTTCAGCTGCGGCTTCCCCAAGCAACGCGAGTCATACACCTAAAATGGCGCCGGGGGGGGGGGGATATACCGAGGCTGGAATCATCATCCCAGCCCTAGCTGAAACGAATATTGAAATGATTTGATTAAAAACTCCTCAAAACTTTTTTATTTTAGTGATTCAAGGCTTTGCAAAATGCGCACACCGCAGCTGAACTCTTATTTACATAAGACAAATTTAACTGGTGCACAACTTTTGTGATCATCAGCACAGACGAGGAAGATGGAAAAAACGATAAAGGCCAAAACTCTTGCAAAATGCAAAAGCGGTCCTAAGTTTGGAACCATTTTAAACTCAAAAGAAGTGAAAACGCGGTTGAGTGTCTCCACTGTAAAATGGACTCCTCTTACCATAACAGCACAAATTCAATCCAAAGCTACTTGAACAGGAAACACCTACAGTCTTCAGCAAGCCTCAGGAGTGAATCTGACTAGGTAGACTAATGCTCATGATGCTAATGACGCACTAATGAGCGCACTTTTCATTCCATTTTCAGTGGGGACTGGAGTTAATCTGTTTACATAAAACTAAGACTGAATAAACTCTATAGAGGAAACAAAATTCCCCGGCATTGTGTTTTTGTAGATGGCTGCAGTGGTGTGGAGACCCACAGCTAATACCTGGAGTCGTGCTGTTGCTGCGTCGCTGCATGCTACGGTAGGCATCTTATGACCCATACAGGGGTCAGGAATACTTTCCATTATCTGAATTGTATTATTATGGGTCTGGTAAAACCATATTTCAATTTTAATCTTCCTGACAACTTAGGACCATGTGATATTCCAGTTTGACTTTAATAACTCTGCAGAAATTCCTGAAGTAATTCAGCCAACCCTCAGCCAATTTGTGCTTGTTCCTTTGTTCCTGTCAAAAGGGAGTTTTCCTCTCCACTGTCACTGCATGCTTGCTTAGTATGAGGATTGCTGTTGTAAGGTTATGAAGTTCATGGTTTTCAACTCCATACAGCTGGCCCCTGGGCACAATAACACCGTGTAGAAAAACCAAGGTCGGGTTGTTCCTCAGACTGTTTACATTCCAGGAGAAGAGTCCGAAGGAGAAGAAGAAGCTTTACCTAATCAAAGTACTTTATTTGTGATTAAAATTATTAAGCAAAACAGATGTTGATCAACAATAATCAAGTGAATGATCTGTGAAATAAATATGTCATGAATTATGTTTAATGAAACCAGGACTACGGTGCAGACATACTGATCCTCATCTCCATAGAAATGCATGACACATTGTTCCAACCAATCAGAGCTTTCGGCTGCCGCAGGAGAATCTGGTGTTGACTTCAAGTGTCCAATCTACTTTACTGAAACTTATCAACAATTCAGAGATATAAAACAAGGCAACGCCATTTTAAGTCAGTTCCATCTTGACTTCAGTTCTGTTCACCATCATCCTAAAGACAAGCGCAGCCTGGCCGGATGCGTTTTCTTTAAACTAAGAACTGTGAAACGGGAGATTTTCGTCGTTTAACAACCAGACGACGTCCTTTCAAAATAAGAGCACCTGCTGACGCCGCTGAACGGTACCGGGGTCAACCCTCCAGACGGGCTTTGAAACGTTGTGATCGCTGCACCGACAGCTCCACCGTACATCCGAGGTTTCCAGACCTGGCAATTCCTGATCTACTTGGGAGACCCCACTGGGTACGTACACGGCAAAATAGCGGCTCATGTCATCACTTTATAAGCCTCGTGATACCTAGTCATAACAAAGACGACCAGATTCGATTACGTCATCCTAGAGAATCTGAACCAGACACACGCACTCACACACACGCACCAACACAACATCCGAATCCATTCTCATCCATCACAGAGTAGTCCTGGTAGATTGTTTAGAATTTATAATTCAGAAATTAAAGATTCTCAAACGATCCCATCTCTCTCTCTTTTATTGTCTCAAAGTCAATACAGAGTGTTTAATTAAACTCCCTGATGATAAAAACAGCCTATTCTTCTGTTTATAAAAAGTGAACTACTAACACTGTATTAAAATACAACTTTGGTTAGTTACATCACTTTAATTCCGTTACATATGGCGAGCCTAGCTTGATATCTGCACAGTTTGTTACATTTTGTGCCGACTTTGAGACATTTTGGGATTATCTGTGTCTGTGTGTTAGAGAATAAGAAAAAGGCGAGCGCTTCCTCAGTCAGCTCTTAGAAAGGGGGGTGCACATTCATCACCCTCCAACGGGAGGCGCTGTTTCATCAAAACACCTTAAGTGCTGACGTGTGCTGGTGGCCATTTTGAGGCCTACATCTAAGGGTAAACATTTCTCCTGTTTTATTGCATTGGAACCGTCTGTTTATTGTTTGTCGTGGTGTTTGTGACACTGTGTGCGTCCATTTGTGTAATCGGAGACAGAAGACTCCGTCGGAAATTTATTTCCGTTCGATGAGCGCAGGATTCGCGCTGTTCTTAGTCGGAATTCTCGTTAGCACCTGCCGTTGCTTGACTGCTCGGTAAACGCTGTCAGCCGAGAACACCCGCAGAGCGGTACTGAATCCAGATTGCGTACACTATTAAGACCCTTTCAATCACGGAGCGAGAGGCACGTTGGTTGATCGAGGCAATTTTGAGACCCTGATCGCTACAGGGCGTTCGCTAGCATTAGCCGACGAGCTAACTAGCCACTCTCGGTGTGAAGGCTCGGGAACGCGTCCCGCGGAGCTTTCTAGCCGTTCCGACGCAGCGGAACTGCGTCCTTTAATCCGCTAAACCTTCCGGTACGGAGTACTTTAAGGTAACCTTAGCGCGGTTCTGAAACACGCTCCAGTGTTCAGAATCGTGTGATTGCTACGGGGATCCAGGCCGGGTGTCGGACGACGCATGCGCGGCGGTCCGCCATCTTAGGTGCCCGACACGTAGCTCGACCCGCCATCTTGGGCAGGTCAAATGACAATGATATTTTTTGGCATTATTGAACAATTTTGCCCAAAATATTCATTCACCAGCCAAGCTTCCCTGTAACTAATTCTTTAAAAAATCTACAGGTAAGGTTTTTTTTTTCTAAGTAAACATCTAATTAGAAGGGTAAATTAGTAAATAAAACAGGAAAAGACTATTTACTATTTTGGAAAATGGACTCAGAGGTAGCGATGCAATTTCAAGCCCAACTTCAGGCGGCGATTCAAAACACTTTCCTTCCCATGATGACTAACATGATGAACATGATTTGCGCTCTTCAGAAAGACGGCGAGGACGTCAAACAATTCATGCGTGATTCTCAGGCGACACGGGCTGCAGGTCCGGGTTTGCCTGAGAAGCCACAAAATGAGACTGAAATGCTGCAGGTTGATGTTTTCACAGGTTCTGATTCACAGGAAAACAACAACACCTCTAAGGAAAGCGACGACACCTCACCGGTCGTTCCATCCGTGGCGATGTTAGGCGATGAACCCGCAGATGCCGACCGCAGTACCACTACTACCACCGCCGTCACTGAGAAAATTTTGCTTGCACCTCTGGTCGTGAGAAAGGGATCAAAAGCCCCATTCCCATCTGTACCGGGTCGGCCCGGGCCGGGTAGCCCCAGTCGGCCCCAGTCTGGCCCGGTTGTTTCCACACATCCTTGTCTTAAGCCCATGTGGGCTGATTCTACCCACCAATCAGAGGCTTGCTCTAATGGAAGGTGTGAATGGGCTGACTCTACCCACCAATCAGAGGCTTGCTCTAATGGAAGGTGTGAATTTCTTGTCAGCAGTGGGTGTGATGGCCCTGGTCGGCCTGAAGCAGTACCCCTCGGGAAGAGGGCCGAGAATGAGCCTTGGTTGGCCCGGGAAAATTCCAGGCCACCCAGATATGTAAACAACCTACGCTACCCGGCCCGGGCCGACCCGGTACAGGTGGGAATGGGGCTTAATAGGCCCGCAGTGGAGGTCACTGTTAATCAGAGACATCGCTGTGTCGCATTATTAGACACAGGAGCGGACATCTCGCTCATCAGCGGAGCTCTTTACAGCAGCATGTGCGAACAAAGGGGGGAGGACATCTCACCCCCCACACTCATTTCGGGCCCAAAGGATTTTGACGAGTTCTATGGCGCTCCCTCGCCCGCGGCTGCGACGACTGAGGTCAACATCTCGATAGGAGGCATGTCCTTTAAACACCTCGTGTACATCGCCGAGGAGATGCCGATGCCCATGCTCTTAGGGTTGGACTGTCTTCAACGCCTTGACGCTAGAATCAGCGGTGCGTCCGGACGACTGTTTGCACGTGTGCGGGAGCCAAAGCCGTACAAACCGTGGCCTGACACAGGCGGACGCCCTTCGGTGGCATGTCTTTCGCGGGGGGACGCGATTTCGACCTCACCACCACTCTCGAAGCCACCGGGTAGACTCCCGGAACTTCTGTTACAGATTGAGAAGGTCATAGACCACTTCTACGACCAGAACCTGCGAACTCACCTGCTTGCAGCATTCTCGTTCGCACAGGCATCTCTGGGAAAGTCAGCTGAAGGCAGAAAAACTTATTACGATAAGAAAGCCTCACATTCCGAACTCGATGTAGGTGACCAGGCCTGGTACTACATTTTCGCTCCCGAATCGGGTAACAATAATGCGACCTCGGGGAAGCTGGCTAAGAAACTTTTGCCCAGATGGTCTGGTCCATACCTGGTTACAGATAAGATCTCTCCGGTCGTGTATCAGATCATGATCGCCAACAAAAACATGGCGCCCGTCTACAAAGGGGTACACAGGGACCATATCAAACTGCACAAGGGTCCCACAGATTTGGCCGATACCAACAACAACAATCCACCAACTTCAAAAGGGGGGTGATGAATACGTCCCGTTGGTTCCACAGATTTCTATCTCTGATTACACAAATTTGTTTGTTTGTGAGTGTACATGGTTGTCTTTCCTGTTATACGTCACGTGCAGATTTAAGGTGTGTTGAGATGGACGTGCTGTGGGCTCCTGGAGTCAGGTAAAAGGCCAGGTAACAGTGAGTGGGTTAGGCCACATAGTACTGTTGTCCAAAATTTTGTTTTTTTTTAATCTTTACTAATCACCATTCCTTAGAGGTACATTAACATGAACATGATTACTAACCACTGATTTACATTTTAGTGCTGATTTACATTTCCGTTTTTTTTATAGTACCTTTGACCAGTTGATTTTAACAGTGAAAATTATGTTTGTGATTATCAATTCTTTGATTTATCCTACTGGGCTGTAACCAATTTTGCCCCTGTCCTGACACGAGTATTTACAGTGAGGATTCACTGATACCGGTTAGGGTTTCTTTCATTTTTCTGCTTCTCGCATCATCCCTTTTTGCATCTTACACAGTCAGGGCTGCATCCATTTCTTCACTTAATGGGTAATTACACTTAAAACTAACACATAGTACAAATGGCACTCATAGAGTTAGGTTTTTATTATTTTTATTTCTTTGATGACATGAAATGCACTTTTGTCGTGTCTACATTGAAGTGCCTACACTGTGCTCTCTCTCCTCTGTTGAGCTTGTGAGGATCCTGCGTCCTGGGGGTGGATCCGTGACTCGTCATCTGCATCGACTACTCCTGAGGGTGCTCCGGCTCGTTGGCCTTGGACGACTGTGGTTCCGGCGTGGCTGCTGGGACACCTCATTCGTTGGGTTTACTGTCACCCGCTCTTCCCTTTTTGTGGATTACGATAAGTACTCTTACATAATTCAATTTTTATTTGGAATATTGCCCTGCCTGCGGATACAACAATCGATTTTTAATTGGAATACTACCCTGTTCGTGGATACGTTCAAGATTTGCTCCTGCTTTGCTTTATTGCCCGTGAGGATATGACGTTGCTGTTGCTTCGTTTATGACTTCCATGGGGAATAATTAATAACCTACTGACTTGTGTTCTTCCTGAGGAGTGTGCGAGACTGTTCTCCGGCGTGGGGTTCGTGCCTCACCACAGACGGCTGTTCCCTTGGGATCGCATCCGGTTCTGTTGTCGAGATTCTTCATAACTTGGGTTTGTTCAACGACCAAGTGGTCTCTGGAAGGACCACATTGACCTTGAAAAGGGGGGATATGTAAGGTTATGAAGTTCATGGTTTTCAACTCCATACAGCTGGCCCCTGGGCACAATAACACCGTGTAGAAAAACCAAGGTCGGGTTGTTCCTCAGACTGTTTACATTCCAGGAGAAGAGTCCGAAGGAGAAGAAGAAGCTTTACCTAATCAAAGTACTTTATTTGTGATTAAAATTATTAAGCAAAACAGATGTTGATCAACAATAATCAAGTGAATGATCTGTGAAATAAATATGTCATGAATTATGTTTAATGAAACCAGGACTACGGTGCAGACATACTGATCCTCATCTCCATAGAAATGCATGACACATTGTTCCAACCAATCAGAGCTTTCGGCTGCCGCAGGATAATCTGGTGTTGACTTCAAGTGTCCAATCTACTTTACTGAAACTTATCAACAATTCAGAGATATAAAACAAGGCAACGCCATTTTAAGTCAGTTCCATCTTGACTTCATTTCTGTTCACCATCATCCTAAAGACAAGCGCAGCCTGGCCGGATGCGTTTTCTTTAAACTAAGAACTGTGAAACGGGAGATTTTCGTCGTTTAACAACCAGACGACGTCCTTTCAAAATAAGAGCACCTGCTGACGCCGCTGAACGGTACCGGGGTCAACCCTCCAGACGGGCTTTGAAACGTTGTGATCGCTGCACCGACAGCTCCACCGTACATCCGAGGTTTCCAGACCTGGCAATTCCTGATCTACTTGGGAGACCCCACTGGGTACGTACACGGCAAAATAGCGGCTCATGTCATCACTTTATAAGCCTCGTGATACCTAGTCATAACAAAGACGACCAGATTCGATTACGTCATCCTAGAGAATCTGAACCAGACACACGCACTCACACACACGCACCAACACAACATCCGAATCCATTCTCATCCATCACAGAGTAGTCCTGGTAGATTGTTTAGAATTTATAATTCAGAAATTAAAGATTCTCAAACGATCCCATCTCTCTCTCTTTTATTGTCTCAAAGTCAATACAGAGTGTTTAATTAAACTCCCTGATGATAAAAACAGCCTATTCTTCTGTTTATAAAAAGTGAACTACTAACACTGTATTAAAATACAACTTTGGTTAGTTACATCACTTTAATTCCGTTACACTGTAAAGACACTGACACTAGTCAGTGACTCGATGTAATCTGCTGGGTTCCTTCTATAGGAAACTTTTTACTGATTGGCTTAATGAACTGACCTGTATTGGAATGTTTATTGTGTGAAGTGCCTTCACACGACTCTTGTCGTGATTTGGCGCTATATTAATAAACTTGAATTGAAATTTTATGCATCAAGAGGTACTACATTTAATCAAGATTTTCATAAACTGTTTTCATGAGTATGAAGATGCTACACGGGATAAAACTGCAGCACCAAACACTACAAACAAAAAAGGTGTAATCAAGACTCACCTCCATTGTCTAAAGAACGTTTTTGTCCCCCAAAACCGTAGAGGGAGGGGTCTATGACTGGACAGGAGCTGTTCATGGTGGGCATCTGGTCTCCTCCCATCTTGGCTGCCATCTGGAGACGACACAGCAGGGCAGATTAAAACAAGAGGTTCAGCGTTTATATTCTCTGAATGAGGACCCTTTCTCAGAAAAAAATATTGGAAAACCCTTGACTACAAGAATAACTATCTCCTTTCTTCTTGTTTGCATAAGGGCATCGAGTTTTCAGAAAAGTTTGGTCTCAACAAACTACCCAAAGCATGTGGAGAGATCATCTTGACAACAGCTTTAACACTTTTTGTTGTGTTAAGGCAGCATAAGCCAGTGTGCTGTAGCCCTTAAAACATATGTTGGCCTTTTAATGCATTTACTGAAAAATAAGAAATAGCGCCACGAAAGTTACAAAAGCCATTTCCACACCCAGGATGTCCACACACAGTGTTGTCATCAGTAAAAGAGTAAAATCAGACAAAAAGGAAAAAACATCGATGGAACAAATCCCTTATTTCTATTTATTTAACTGATCTGGGAAATGTTTTGACTTTCTTTAGAATAGATGCGCCTTAACCTTAAGTTTTAGTGACTAACGTATACTAGAAAAAATTTGCGAAACAAATCATGATTATCCAAATTACATCTGCTAGTTAACCAGACAAAAATCAGGGTTTTTTTTTTTGGTTCCACCATGGCTTTTAAAAACAAGGACAAGACTATGCAAACTGTAGTAATAATACAATTATTTATGTAAGATTAATTTGTCTGGTGTCCTGAACAAGTATTCTGGATTGACAATAGCTTTCACACACACACACAGGTAAAAAGCAAAGATTCTTTCAAACTAAGGTTGAGCAATAAATAGGGTTGGCCATCGAGCATCGATTGGAACCGGGACCAACTGTTAGTTATTCCTGGAATCGTTTAAAGTTTCTTATTTTGATTCCTAGTTTCACCCGGCTGAACTCGTTTTCTGGGGGAAACCCTGCTCGATTCCCTCCAACCTGATACAGCCAATTAAACAACAGAAGATTTGATTTCGCCATGGAACAGAACGCGTTGACGGCTTTGCCGCGGGTCGCCTCCAATGTGTCAGGTAATAAAAGTGACAGCGACGAATTTCGCTGATCGCGGTCATTTGTCGCCTCCCGTGTGTCGAGCCCATTACTGACAGCAGCTACATTTGAGTTTCACTTTCTGTCCTGACTGAACGCTGCTGCAGCATGGAGGTGTAGTTCTCAGTCATCCTGGACATGATCATTCTGAGAGTTTTAGCTGAAAACAGCTGGACGTTTCTGGATATGTTGGAGACATTTAGCCTCTCATCTCAGAGGCTTCTTCCAGACTTTGGTTGTGGTCAGAAACAAACACACTGGTTGTGCTGCAAGTCTTTTTTTTCCCTCCAAAACATGTTTTTGTCTAAATGAAGGTGATGTTATTGTTCATAGAATTAACATTCATGTTGAAGTTAAGATTATTTCATCAAGTAGGACCTATGGTTAGCTACCTCAAGTAAAACATGTCATGTTTTGAAAGAACCTGAATTGGGAATCGATAGGAACCGGAATCGAAACAAGGAATCGGAATCAGAATCGGAATCGTCCAAAATCAAACGATTTTGCCCTAGCAATAAATAACATTCTAACCAAGCCATATTAGTCGGTCAAATATATTCATGCAGGGGACACAGCGTTTCCCTTACATAGGCGTAGCCGTGGCCGGCCGCCATGGCTGAAATCCCAGCCTACAAGATCCCAAGTTTAATAGATTTTTTTTGTGCCGTTTCCCGAAGAAGCAGCGGGAACTACTCTGTTGTTGCTTGTGATCACAGCCGGCAGGCAGCAAGGAGGAGGAGGCAGGGCAGGGTGGTTACAGCTAGGGATGAGACACGGATAAAGCATTTTTGACAAATACGAGCATGAGACGAGTAAAACTCGTTAATATCTAATCGTGCTGAAGGAAAATCCTCATTGGGTAACTGACTGTCTTCACGCTCTGTGATTGGCCAGTCACATAGAGTGCCCGCCCCTCCCTACACACAAAACTCTGCAGCCAGGAGCTCAGTCCGGCCCGTGCATCCACGCGCACACACTCAGACAGTAACAAAGCTCTCTATGCATGCTTCACTGTTGCTCACGTTTCTTCAGTACTCCCTAGGTTTTCTCCAGCTCACCTCTTTTTCAGTTGAATATTTAAAAGTTACTTTATTCGTAACTTACGTGGTGCATTTGACAAGACAGAGCTGGAAACTGCTTGTGCGTGGGTCGGTCACTTACTCCTCTCTGGTCATTTAAAAAAAAAATTATTTTATCTCTCTCTCACTCACACCTTAACATTGTTTTGTTTAACTGTGTGTGGGAAAAATACCAACAACATTAGGAAAAAATCAGTTTAATCAAATTAAAATAAAAAATATTAAAAAGTTGTGTCTGGTTCTAGTATTTCATATTACCTAGTTCCTACTGCATGAGTTCAGATGTATTAATTAATTCATGCACTTAAATATTGATGTTCTGATTTTATTGAAAAACGTGTTCTTTAATAATTCATTTACTATTGTGATCAAAAATATTTAATCTCAATTCTAAAGGCTGCTCTGTAAATAGTTTTCAAATAAACAATACACATAGCAACTTCTGATCAATCCATATCAATTTCAGATTCAAAATAATGTACTGATGTAAACCACACCCACTAATTTCCAAATAATAAGTAAGAGGTGCATTCATCTGTATCTCCTTTGATCCACATTAGTGATATTTTCAACACCGGAACAGTGAAGCAAACAGATTCCTGAGTTTGTTAGTAATTTTATTTATTAGGTGCATCTGACCTGTTCCATTTTTCTCTGAAATGAGATCAAATCAGTGCTTCTATGAGTTGTCTCCTTTCTAGAAAAAACACTAGAAAATTTTACTTTATTATAATGTTCACTGAAATGCATTTTGATGTTCTTAACAAATTAAACGAAAGATACTGGTCAATAATGCCAAATTTGTGTTTCAGTCATTTTTATACTGGCTTAAAAATATTTCATTAAGTCTGCTAAGCAGGGGTGTAGAACATTTTTAATAGGGCCAGCCCAGTAATGATCTTGGACCAAAATAAAGGGGGGGCTAAAAGTTTTTTTTCCAGACACCAAGAAAAATTTAATACCAAATCCTCCCTGCAAAGTGTGTCACAGAGTTTAAAAACAAAAATTATTCTTGTGCAAATATTGGTGTATTCACCTTTAATACTAGTTATTAAAATGCAGCAGTTGCTGGATTGGTGCAGTTCAAGGTGGAGTGCATCAGATAACACAATATTAACATTCCATGTACATGTGGCCTATATCATATCTTTCACAATATTACCAGTAATTATTTCTTGTCCAGAGAGAAATCTCATGTTAAGCAAAATTCATGTTGTAATTGCATCCACTGAGGATTACGCTCACATGGGTCATGCACGGTGGAAGCATTAGTCATTAGGGCAAAAATGGCTGGAATCTGACAGTATTGACTCATATTAGAGATCACATTGTGATGACTCAGACTCTCTGGTTGATCTTTTATGGGTATTATTTTCGGGTAACTGTTGTCTGTAACCCACACCTTAAAACGCTTAACCTTTTCAACAGAATCACTTGTAACGAAGCCTAGCATAACAAAGCAGCAAAAACCACAACCGGAACAACCTCTCCCGCCCGCTGAACTCACCTTCACAATAAACCGTTAAATTATTCAAACCGTTTCAACATGTTTGAGGTAAATTGGCCACTAAAGCTCTTCGTAGATGTATTCTGATTACACAGGGGAGGGGTTTGGGCCATCTTTCCAGACAAGTAGGATGGATATATGGTTATTTTTCAAAACACAGAAAAGGTTTCTCTTTACCTTGCTGACAGTTTCGTTCACGGCAGCAAATAAACCGACAATGCAGTTAAACAGAACTCTGTTGGCAGCCACTAGGGCTGAATGATCTATCGTTTTTGGACCGAAATCGCGATTTCAAACAGCACGATCACGTGACCGTCAAAGCTGCGATTTTAGCGGTTTTGACTGATCAGTTGTGTAACTATGTTTTTACATCCATGGTTTTCCCCTGTGATATGGCCGCAGCAAAAGCCAGCACGAGGGAGGGGGGTTGGGTGTACCGTCCACAGCCAAGCCCAACTCAACAGCTGACAGAGCTGCATGTTCAGGTTATTTTCCCCGTTTTATGTTCCCACACTCAGCGCTGCTAGAGCCGATAAGAATGGCACCATAGGAGAGTAAAACTCATTCATTTTAAGCAAAACTTAGTTTTACTAAAAATTTTTAGTTTTACTTTAGTTTAACTTGGGCTATTTGCAGAAATAAAAACTGGTGAGTAGTTTATAATCAGCATTTTAAACATAAATTGAAACCGAAGCTCAGAGAGGGAGAGTCTTGCTGCTGCAGCGTCCTAAAGGTGTGTTTTCATTGGTCGGTTGCAAACAGGAATCGTGGGTTTTCATGCAGTGCTCGAAGGCTTTTTGAGGCCGATTTGGTCGTGAGACAGCTCAAAAAACTGTTGCAGAGCCGGTCACCCTGTACGTTCACAGCAGGGTGCACATATATGCAAATCACCCTGACCGTTTTCTGACACAATTCTGCTCAGGACGAGGGATTTGGCAAAGACGGCCAGAAATCGCATGATATCGGCATTAGGCTCTGGATGGCAAATTATATTGTAGTTCAATAATGATAAGTAATGTGTGTTTCAACCACACCAGTGATGTAATTTGAGAGTTATCAGCTTGTAAAAGTTTTTAATTAGCATGACTACAAATCAGACATCGGCACGTCGCATAAATGAAATCACCACAGAATCTAGTCTCCCCTAGCGTAGCTGTTACTTACCAAATGGCCACATTTACGATGGTTCTTTCCTCCTGAAGTAAGGATTTGAAGTTCTCTGAACTTACAACCATTTTCCTTCTGTTTTTCTCCGTGTCTGGTTCGATTATGTCAATTTTGTGAAGCACATTTGTAATCCTGGACTTATTTTTACATAAAACCTAAATGACTCCCCCCACACACACACCCGTTTGAAATTAAGCACGTTCTTGGTATC